ACACACACACACACACACACACACACACACACACACACACACACACAGACACATGCACTGACCTCTGTGTGACTGTGGCACACTAAGAGGATGTGCTGTCAAGTGCCATCCCATGGATTCCTTTAGTTTGCTGTCACAGTCAGCCTTTGTTTCAGTCTCTGTGAGTGCATGTGGGAGAGTACAGTGTACACACAAGACCTGTTTGACTGTGTGGTTGGGTTATGCAATTTTGACAACTTTTTTGGGGGGGCATAATTTATTTATACACAGGATTAGAAGCTTTTTAGACGGACATTTTTGCTGTTACCACCACATTTTATTAACTGTAGCTAGCTAAACTAATGTTAGCTTTGTTAGTTGGTTGAAAACGCTGTCTATCGATATTACATCATATCATGACATGAGACTAGACATTATCTACTGATTGTGGATATCGTAATATCGGTATATGGCATAACTGTTGTCTTTTCCTGGTTTTAAAGGCTGCATTACAGTAAAGTCATGTCATTGTCTGAACATAACAGTCTGTTCAGGCTGTTCTATTATTTGCCTTTATCCACTTAGTCATTACATCCACATTACTGATGATTCTTTATCATAACATCTTCAGCACCGATGGTAATTTGTGTGTCTGTCTGTGTATTTCCCTCTGCATCCGACTGCTGGCAGCGGCGTTGGCAGTTGATGAAACTAGATCGCACCTTGTTGAATAATTGAGCGGTGGCCGACTGCGATGGATGGATCACGACCACTGTTAACCCTTTCACAGCCAAGGATCATTTGCTCACTGTTGTCCCACAACACAATGAAGTGTACATGGGCATACACGCACGTGTGTGTGCCTGTTTGTGTTTGCACGTGTGCTGTTATACGTGTCTTTGAGTTGCTACAAAGAAACTTTAAATCCAGTGTGTGTGTGTGTATGCAAGCATGTAAAGCATTTTGTCAACAATGCTCTCGCTTGCATGCTTCCCAAAAGGGATTAACGTAAACTTAATATCCCCGTTCTAATAAATCAGCAGGTCAAGTTTCCTTTGAGCCCCGAGTCAAAAGTATGCAGTTTTTCCTGCTGAGTTGAGTTTGGTTTAAGAAGGGTGTGACCTATTTATTTACCTACACTACAACAATGTGCACATCATCTACTGAATGCAAGTACTAAAGCAAAAGAAAACCTTTTAACAAGCACATACAGCATACGTAAACTGATCACTCAATAGACAGCAGCTTAAACAAGCAAGACAACATTGGGTCAAACCATTTTAAATGAAAATCCAGTCTGCAGTTGAACTAAAAAGTTAATTTATCCGTTTTTGTTCCATGGCCTTAATGTAATTTTTTTTTAATGACTTTCCATAACTCGACCAGAGTTCTTCCATGACCTAAAAACTGTAGCCCAGTTTGTTAATGTTATTTCTCAGCTTGGAGAAAAATCAGCTGGTGCCGACTGTCTATTTTCCAGTTGGGCTGGCAATGTAGAAATTACCATAAGCCTACAGTGTTCAAAACAGCTGAAAACAGACTTTTGCAGTAAAATGTCATACATTGTAGTGTATTCCTCTGTTTGCTTCACTTTTAACAATTGACTGGTCTGAGCATGTTTCTCTATGGCAAGCATCCAAACAATCCAAGCGTTGTACCCACAAAACAAAAAAGTAAAGGCGACACAAAGTAGCTAACAGCTGATAAAATCTACATTCATTGTGGGATGAGAAGCCTGATTTTGTTTATGTCAGTTAGCCCTGCCTTCCTTAGTTACTGTTGACAGGTGTAGCAACAGTAACTCAGGGGGGGGGCGGACCTTACTGAACTCAATTACTCAAGTACTCAATTTGCTGATATATGAGCAATGGTGTGTTCCCAACTTTTATATCTGTCTGACACCAAAACGTGCTTGTTTTAGTCTGTTACATGCCTGCTGATGTAAATATTGAGATCTCCACATTTTTAAGTTTTGACGACATCAAACACATCAGTATTTATTTAGATTTTAAAGCTGCAGTTGATCACAAAAAATAGATTACATCTCTGCATTTAAATTGACATGATGGTTGAAATGCCCACAAAGGGACATT